CGATCATTTTTCTGAAAAACTGCATATTTGCTTTGAACATGCATATTTGGTCATCTAATCACCCACATAAAAGTAATCATGGACTAGGAACATGCTTGAACACTATTCAACCACTTCATACATGTAAAACCAAAGGTGTAGCATGCTTTATAACACAATTCAACACATTAATCAAGGATTTGGCACCAAAAGTCAACAATTGCATAAAAGTTCATCTCAAGCACAAGTCACCTACTCATTTTTGGCATTTAAGGTTGTTTCATGCAACCTAAGAGTCTAACACCTTTATTTTACCAAGTTACACTTAAATAAACACTCCAAACACTTATATAGGGACTAAATCAACATTTGAATAATCTCATGCTTCAAGCACCAAGTTTATACTTATAAATCCAATGTCAACAAATCAAAACAACATTAAATCCCAAGCATAAATCCACTTATTACAAACCAAAATCCAGTATTATAAATCCAAAAAAGTGAATAATAGGTATAAGTCCCAAACATTCCAAAATTACCACACAAAGTTTCCGGAAACCACATACATAAAGCTTCATGGCTTAGCTTGCTTGATCACACCGATGCCAAGCTCCTTGCCTCCAAACTTGACTCTAATCCTCTGAAAATGTTAACAACGAGTGTGAGCTTATAAAGCCCAGTGAACAACTAATATTCAAAGCAATGCACATAACCAAGATAAAGGTTTCCATCGTATTTCTTTATATATTGATAGATTGCTCGAATATTTTCACGGGCATTTATTTGTAGAATGAGTGTGGAAAGCACTACTTGATCGAAGTAGTGTAATCTGATACGACTTTCGAACGGAATATGAACTTGAAAACACGAGTGTTTTTACGTTTTTTAAAATAATGGTATTTTTATTTTTATATTTTTATAATATTTAATTTCATTTTTTATTTTTTTTTATTTTTTTTATTTAATGTTAGAATTAATTATGTATGTTTTCGAAAAGTGAATTATAATTTATTTCATGCAAAATTTCGATATTAATTTAATATTTTAAATAATTCAAAGATAAAATATTCTTTTACAGATGAGAAATAGGTGAGATAGCTTTCCCGACGGAGGATTGCAAATCTCGAGATTTCTTATCAAGTCAAAGAATTTTCTTTAAATAATTAATTCGGAATAAATTAATTAATATTCAATAAATGGATCATAATTTAATTTTCTATTCGAATTTTAATTTCCACTATTACGACAGCGTGTAAGCAACTAAGTACCAATTTTGAGCGTTGTTGGGGTGTTTATCCTTCCCCATTCGTAACCGACTCCCGGGCCCGTTAATTCGTAATTTTGGTAAACGCATACAAACTTTGGTCTTTTAAATGATTATCCTTAATTGTTTAAAAGATGTTTTTAGGTATTCGGCCTACCTAACTTAAAGGTCGATGGCGACTCCTATTCAATTTAATTCAAATTAATTCAAAAATCGCCAAATTTTTAAATAAAAGTTATAATTGGTTTTTTTACTTAATTGTTTTTAAAAAAATGGTTATTACATATGAATTTGTATTGGCCCCAAACATGCACTTTGAATCTATTGGTTTCATCTTATAATGAATCTAGTACATGAGTCCAATGTTTCCTTAATATCAATTTTCATGTTCTTACTGCAAAACATATGTTTGGATATTTGCAAAAGTATGGCATACGTAAAACTTTCCATGACTGACGTAATATGTCTTATTCATATGTTTTCTTAATTTTTTTGGACAATCTTTTAAAGAAAGACAGAGACTTAATATAGAAGATCATATATGTACCCATCTTTTTTAATGTACGAAGATTAAGATTAAATCATAATCATTTCTTTTATTGCTAAATATTTGAATGCCTAGAACATACTCAACTTCACCTAAATCTTTTAATTGATGATAATATATTTATCTCTTTCCTAATTAGTAGAATATCATCTTCGTATCAAACTAGTCAATCTATCTTATCATCTTTAATATGGGAAATTATCATGTGCGACAGCATTAATATACGGTTAAAAAAAGACGTTATCGGTTTTGTTATTATTTAAATAATAAAACCGGTAAAAAATTACTGGAAATATTATTATTTCTATCAGTTTTGTTATTTTTTCTACCGATTTTGTTATTGTTGGGCACTTTACTGGAAATGTTAAAAAAACATTGATATTTTAAGTAAAAATAATAATGTTTTAGCTAATTTTTACCGATTTTATTATTTGTATAATAACAAAATCGATAACTCTTTTTTTAGTTGTATATTAAGGATGTCGCACTGTAGAACTTCCCTTAATATGTTTATAAATGTTCTTCTAAAATATCAAATGTCTTAATCATTTGATCAACCCATTAATTTAATGAGCCGAAATTTTGAGTCCATAAAGAAATCTCTGCAACTTATAAACCTTTTATATTGAGCGAGTACGTTATTACTCAAATTATAGCGTACTTAAATTTTAGGAGAATCCCACTTATAAGTATCTGAATATTACGGATCAAGTTACGGGCTGAGTTTTAGTACCTGAATTTGGATATCCCTATCATGCATCACCATGTATAAATTATCACATGTTTAACAATACCAAAATTAATATACCAAATTATCAAATAAATAGAATCCAAAGGACACATTGAATGAGAATAATATGATCAGACAAGTTATCACATGTTCAAACTCTCAATTTGACCATACTTGCTCAATTCCTGAAACAAATTCTCATAAAAAAGACTCTTGGCCATTTCTAAGTTTGATATAAATATGCTAATAAAAAAAGTTCTTGGTAAATGTCGCATCATATCAAAGATTAGCAAGAAAATTAATTTACAGTTTGCTGGCCGTGAGGTTCGAACTCATGCGCATTTTTATGCAGCAGATCTTAAGTCTGCCCCCTTAACCTCTCGGGCAAACCAGCTGATATATCATGTGATAAAGTACATATAAATTTTTTAATTTATTAGAATTAAAATGTACTAACTTCTTTTAAATTGCTTTCGATAGCCAATAGCAAACAATTAATGTAGCAGGGCAACAAGTGTCTCTTTAATGTTGCGTTTGCAGGCTTTTTAAGAGAATTTGTTAGTCTTTAATGGCCAAATTGAGAGTTTGAACATGTGATAACTTGGTTCACCATATGATTCTCATTTAATGTGTCGTTTGGATTCTATTTGTTTGATAATTTAGTATTTTAATTTTGTTTCATTAATATTAATGTGAAAATAATATCACTAACCCATATATGGTTATTTTCTTATATTTTGACCACTAACCTCAATTGATGTGATATTTTCACATATTAAACAATAATTAAATTAACATGTCACATGTAATCTTCTTTAATAAATTAATACTCAATACAATTGCGACGTATTAGACATATCAAATTAACTATTATTAATGATAATGATCGAAATGAAAGTTTGGAAGTGATTTTAATGTTTTTTTTATTTTAGTAAGCAAAATGAAAATACTTCAAAATTCAGTGACCATTAATATATTATACCATTTCAATTATTAACTAACAAATTAACATATTTCTCTTTTTATTATTATTATTATTATTATTATTATTATTATTATTATTATTATTATTATATCACTATTTGATGCCAATTTGGTGGTCCTAGACCCAGCTCGGCTCTGACACAACAAGCTATAAACTTTATTCAAGACCCTCGACGTACAAATGATCACGAGTTAAAAAATATTATCAATTTTATTATTATTTAAATAATAAAATCGATAAAAAATGATAAAAAAATATTATTATTTTTATCGGTTTTATTATTATTGGACGTTTTATCGGATTTGATAAAGCGTTATTGTTTTTGTTATTTTTCTATCAATTTTATTATTGTTGGACACTTTTATCGAAAATATTAAAAAAATGATGTTTTAAATAAAAATAATAATATTTTAAACAATTTTTTATTAATTTTATTATTTAAATAATAATAAAACCGACAACGTCTTATTTTAACCTTATATTAAGGTACTGAACCGTAGAACTTCCCCCTCAACCATTTGCCGCTTAACCATGCACCCCCTTCTTCTCCCACACGCTTCCAATGCCGCGTCTGTCAGCCACTCTGTCCTGTTAAGCCCACATTATTAGTATCACTTGTGTTTATAATTTGATATACAGTTAATTAAAAGAATTATAATTAGTGTTAACATAATATTAAGTAATTTTAAATTATTTTAAAAATACGAATTAAATATATGAATCAAATTATTTTAATAGTTAAAATAAACATTATTGTTCTTAGAAGTTATGAGTTCGAGTATCAACGACTGTAAGGATGATTGAATGTTCATCGTTAAATGATTGTGAGTACTTACAACGTATATTTTATAATCACCTTAATTTAATAAATAAATAAATAAATAAATATAATATAATATTTATAATTATATTTATAAATCATAACCAAAATTATTGTTATAAATAATGTAACAAAACAATAATTTATTTTATACTATACTAGAAAAATAATGAATTATCTACAATTATTTAAATTTATATGAAAATAAAACTCTATCTTTTATGAAAATTTAAAAATAATAACATTATAATAATTTTTCTTATGATTATATAATTTTATCAAATAGTAATTAGCAATTGATATTTTTCTAAATTAGTTTGTGGTTATTGCAAAATAATATTTATTTAAAAAAATTTAATTTATTAATTAAACTGGTTCATGGGATTATCAGTGTAAACGGGTGATAAAAGAACAGCTGACGAACCTCCAATTGTCAAGATGAAACCGAACAGTGCTGTTAATCCCTGGCTGCCAGTAAAAACCTACTTTTAAGGCCTGAAGCGCACATACTCCGCCAGACATGATGGACGCACACCGAGCTCAGCATCCAACACAGAAGAATTGGCAAAGTACTTTTAACGTAAAACTCGAGAGACTAAGCAAGTTGGCGATGTGAGGAGGCTTCACCGTTGTTTACCGAGGAGGGCAAGGTTAAAAGAATGAAGAATCGAAAGCCTAACCCTCCAAGGCGTTTAGGTTGACAAAGTTTTGACCAGGCAAGTAACGGCCAGCCCCTCTCCGCATGTCGACCAGTCCACCAAAAATCACGCGGTGCACTTGTAATGTCTGAAATGATACCAGGCGACAAAAGAAAACAACCCAGAAGATGAGTAGGTAGAGGCGTAGAGCTTGGTCAACTGACTTAATAAAAATCTCTCGACCGTCATAGGAAAGCAGGTTTTTGGACCAACCCCGAACGCGAGAACCCACACGATCTCGGATAAAACTGAAAGATGCAGTCTTGTTACGCCTAATGATTAGTGGGAGGCCCAAGTAATTACCAGGGTTAAGAACTTCTTGAACGCCTAATAGAGTACACAGCCACATTCGATGTTCCAACGGTGTATGACCACTGAAGTACACACTAGATTTGGAAAATTTGATGTGCTGGCCAGAAGCACCCGCAAACAACGCTAAAACCGCCTGAAGTTGCTAAAATTCCAGAGAGGAGTGTCGAACAAAAAGGAGACAATCATTCGCATATAAAAGATGTGTAAGTCGAGAACCATTACGGCTGATCTGAATGCCCTGTAAATCACCAAGTCGTTGTGCCTCACTGAGCAATGATGATAGTCCTTGTATACAAAGAACAAAAAGAAAGGTTGACGGCCGATCCCCTTGACGCAACCCACGTTCCATAGAAAATGTATTAGTAAGATGGCCATTGATGCGAATGCAATACGTACAAGAGGATACACAAGACATGAGGAAAATAACCCACGCTGGAGGAAAACACAATCATAAGAGCATGGCATTCAGAAACGATCATTTGACTCGAACATAAGTCTTTTCCATGTCGAATTTCAAAGCAGCACCTCGAGGCAAATCCATCGAATTTGACTTCAAGTAATGAAATACTTCGTGGGCTACCAAGAAATTATCAAACAGGAGACGACCTGGAACAAAGGCTGCTTGGGAGTCATCGATACAATGCGAAAGCACCGACCTTAGTCGATTCACTAAAGTCTTGGACACCATTTTATAAACAACTTTACAAAGTGCAATCGGGCAAAATTAAGATAAACGAGTAGGATCAGAAATCTTTGGAATTAACACCAGCAGAGTCTGATTTACCAATGCCATCGGAACTCGTCCAGCAAGAAGATCAAGACATAAGGTGATTAAATCCTCCGCTACCAATGGCCAGAAAGTCCCAAAAAACCAAGCCGGTCAGCCGTCGACCCCAGGAGCTTTGGAAGGATGAATTTGTTTAAAAGCGTTATACACTTCATCACGGGTAAGCCGTCCACCCCAGGAGCATTGATACTATTTTAATATAATAAATGATAAATTAGTTTATAATATTTCTTTATAAGTACTAATTTACATAATAACTGCCACGTGTTAAATGATTAGGTATGACTTAGATTAAGAGCAGTGGCGCGCGTGAGTAATTTTAATTATGTCTCTCCCTCTCGATCTTGCAGTTTGCATGAATTCCCGTGGCCAATTTTGATTTGCAAGCAAGTAGGATAACCAAATGCAGCTTCGCTAGACTTCCATTTTTGGCCCTTTAATTGAAAAAAAATATTGATAATTATTCCTCGTTAAATTTTTTTCCCTACCTTTTCGTCGTTTCTTCTTCCACCCTGCCCTTTAATAATATTGCCTCTTCACGCTTTCTTCCTGATAATTTTTTCCGTCAAGCATTTCCTTTACAGGTATTTTCTCCAAACTTTTTTTTCGATTCTGATGTTTCCAAAGTTTTCGTTTTTGTTTTCTTTTAACATTTCTGTTTTAGATATTGCAGATCCGATCTCAAGTAGATTAAATTTCTTGTGAAATTCAACAGGTCGAGAGGCTTAAAAAGAGATGGCGGAGGAGCACAGGTGCCAAACGCCGGAAGGCCACCGTCTTTGCGTCAACAACTGCGGCTTTTTCGGAAGTCCGGCGACGATGAATCTTTGTTCGAAATGTTATAGAGATTTTCGCCTTAAAGAACAAGGAGCGGCTTCAATCAAATCATCTCTCTCTTGCTCCTCTTCGTCCTCCTCAGCGGTTGTCGAATCCGTTTCTCAGGTTTCGCTATTCACTCTCCCTGAAGTCATCGGAGAATCGCCTGCTCCGACCGTCGAGATTGACATGGCGGCTGAGCAGCGACCCCAGCAACAACCAAATCGGTGCATGGTTTACCGGAAACGAGTCGCGTTGGCCGGGTTCAGATGCAGATGCGGGATTACGTTTTGCGGGTCGCACAGGTATCCAGAAAATCACGGGTGTACTTTCGATTTCAAGACGATCGGGAGAGAGGAGATCGCACGCGCTAATCCTGCGGTAAAAGCAGATAAGCTCGAGAAGATTTGAGAAGAGACTGGAATATCCATTGGATCTCTTGATCTTCGATGAAAGAAAATTTTGAAATTATACAGCTCTTTAAGATACCGACACGTGTTTCGATGGTGGATAAAAATATTTTCATCCTAATAAGTTAATATATATGTTTTATTTTACGTGTTCCTTTAGTCTTTTTTTCCCCTTGTAAAAAATGATTTTTTTCAACTTTTTACTCTTTTTATTTATTTGGGTGGAAAATGAAATTGTTTTTTTAATAAAGTCCAAATTTGGAGTAGATTCTGTTTTTAATTATTGGTGTGTTAAATTGTGCTCATGTGCTGGCAGCGGCCAACTACGACAGCTAATCACCTATCTCCGCATTGAATGTTAATGTCTTTTGGCATAAATCTAATTTATAATAATATATATTCTATCAAATAATATATTCATTTTGAATATAAAATTTAATTTTTGCATCTTAATCAATTCTTTCACTATTGATAGTTTGTTAATCTAAATGTTAGCGTTATTTATCATGCATGTAATTTTTAAATTAATTTAATATTTTATTATATTGATTTAAAATAAAATTACTATTAATGATTAAAATATATTTTCATAAAAAAATACTCGTACATTATCAGCCATAAGTTCAGCAACTTCTAGAGGATTTATTTCTATGCTAACTTCCACCGTCACTAGAAGCTATACTCGGTCTTGGTAGAGAGTAGGAATGTGCATAGGTCGGGTTTTTGGTCTATCAAACTTGATCCGAGAATAAGGAGTTCTCCACCTGATACTCGACTTGACCTGATCAAAATAAGTCTTTACCTGACCCGAATCCAATATATAACTTAAAAATTCGACCCGAAATAATAAAAAATTATTTTTATTAAATAAAACAGTGAATTAATTGAAAAAATAATATATAGAGGGGTATTATTATAATTTTTTTAAATATTTAAGGTAAACTTATATATTTTTCGGGTCGGATATTTTTTACCCTAAATCTAAACCTAATCCGACCTGATATATTTTTTTTAAAAATTGATTCAATTAGATCGGATCGTACCCATCAAATTCAGGTCTCATGCCCATTCCTAACAAAGAGAGATACTCATCGCTACGAAAGGGATTTCCTCAACCTCTTCAATTCGAGAAGTCATCTCATCTGGGAACGGATGCACTAAATTCTCTGGGTTAAGCGTACCTTATTATTTTAAAAAATAATTAGATTTAATTTTGATGTGTTAATAAATAAAATAATTCATTATTTTTATATAAAAAAAAATTTTAAAATTTTTTTTTTGGATACGGAACTGTCGCAATCTCATCATTCGTAGGGAGATCGACCTCTGCCTCCAACGGAGGGTTCACTAAAGGCTCAAGCTTCGCTTGAAAGCTTAATTGTGCTTGTGCTAACGTCTAATGGCATCAATAGTTCATTAGCTTCCTCCTGTGACAATGACGACAGAACACCAATTGAAGAATACATATTAAAATTGGTAGTGTCATTTCCTCCGGAATCATTTCAGCGTTGCAACAACTTCTTTGAGGTTTCTTCGTCATCGAGACTAAAATTCCTAACAGAGCCCCTCTTAGCTTGCCCATCTGACTAGGGAATTGCAGAACACGAATAACGTGTTAGAAAAAATGTTGAATTTATTGATGAACTTGTTAATTGTATTTCTCTTAAATATGACCCATCTATTTGAATATTTTGAGTTAAAAAAATATTATATGGATTCTTAAAATTCGATTATTAATAAGATAATGTTATGTTATTTGAAGATTTATATTCAATTAAAATCTAAATATGTTGTTATGAATTTATATTCAATTGAAATATGAGTATATTATTTATAAATTTATATTTGGTTAAATAAAAATGTATTATTTATGAATTTATATTTAATTAAAATAAGAATATATTATTATAAATTAATATTCGATTAGAATACAATATTGTAGTTCCGGAAGTATTGTTTTTTCTTTGAAAATCCCCTATAAATATTGTGCTACTCTTTCAAGTTAAACGCAAGTTTACAAGCTTTTAAGTTTTCACAATTCAATAATGTAAGACAAGTCAACAAAATTTTTATCCATTAGTTTTCCACTGATAGATAAGATAAGAGTGTAGTTTGTGATATCTACAATTTTGCTCCTGTCGTAACCGCCTTTCGGTTAGACCCAAAAATTGGGCTTCGACTTAGGAAGATGGATTAGGAGCCGTCACCGATCATTTATTTAAAAATAAACAGGTTGATCGGACACCTTATTTCTTACATGGTCTGCGTCTTACCATAAATGTGTCGGATTCGGGAGTCGGTTACAGTCAAGGAAGGATTAGCACCCTTGAACTGCCCTTTCGGTACTACGTGATTTCCAGTTGTCTTTAATTAAGAAAATTGTAATTTTAAATTAAAAGGTAAAATAACGATCCCAAAACTTACCTCTGATTGGTTGAAATTCTTATTAAAAATGTCGAAAATGTTAGATAAAAATAATAATAGTAAATGAACATTAAATAAATCAAAAGAAAAAAACATAAATAAAATATAAAAATAGAATAATAAATCAAAGAAAATATAAGAGAAAAATAAATAAATAAAATAAATCACAAGTCTAACATTCAAACCAAATCCTAAATGGGACTCAAACATCTACAAGATTTTAAAATGATAAAGAAGGTAAAGTCAAGCATTCCAGGAAATTAAAATAATCACATGCAAATGGGGAGTAGATTAAAGCGTACAACATGCAAAAAAAAAATAAGTGTAGAAATTCAAAGATCAAATAGGAGAAAAAAAAATAAAAAGCAAACCTAATCTACTGACTTAAACTACCACCTTACCGAAATAAACAAATGGGAAAATTTTAGTCAAAAAGAAATAGTACATGGAGATAAAAGAAAGGCCTAGGGATAATAAAATATAAATATATATATATATATATAAAGATATAATATTAGTAAAATAATAGTAGAAAGCTAAAATAAAGTAATATATATATATATATATATATAAACATATAGAACAAAATATAATAAAAAACGTAGTAAATAAAAAATAATAATAATACACCTATATTTACATACCTATATATAAATAATGACATGAAATATGCATATAATAAAAAATATAATATAAATAATAATATAGGTAAAGATAATAGGGAAATCAGTAAAATGAAAAAAATATATATATATATATACATAATAGTAATAAATAAACATAATTAAGTAATAAAAAAAATAATAATAAATTATAAATATATATAAATTGTAATAAGGGTCGAATTGAAAGAATGACCAAATTCGGGGCCGGATTAGAAAGAAAATTCAATGTGAAAATTAGATTATGGGTCCAAACGAGGCCTTTTGAAACAGAAAGGGACCGAAACGCGATTTACCCTTTTTATAACGAAAACACGCGGGTCATCTTGCTGATGGATCGGGTTAACGGGTCGTATAAAGGCAAAAAATTTGGTCTAAAATTTTCATTTCCATCATTTTGTAAACCAAAGCCCTCCTCCTCTCATCTTTCTCTTTACCTTGTTCTTCATAAATGAAGAACACAGGCAACAATTTCTAGAAATTGATGGCCGCCCCGTGCCGCCTCGCTGCCGCCGTTTAACGGCGACAAAACCAAAATTTTTTTGACTCTCTTAAAAGCTTTTCCCCTCCCCATTTTAAATATCCGAATATTTTTTCAAAAAACGGCCTCGGGAGGGCTAGATCTAAATAGGTAGATCTCGTTGGCCTTCCCCGTTCATCGGTCAAAAAGTGATTTTTCGGGTTCGATTCGCACCAAATGACAAAGGAAATACAACATGCAAAAGAGTAGAAGAAAAGAATCAAGGTAAAGACTACCTCTTTTATTTCCTTTTCGAAATGTTCTACAAGTGCTTGGACACTCCTTCTGTTAGCTATTGTGAACTTGTGTGTGTGTGGTGATTTCTCTGTGGTTTGCTGGAAATTTTGTTGTTTTTTTCGTCCCCCTATACAATGGGGATTACATCTTATTTATACTGAAAAAAACCTGTTTTAGATTACATTTTTGAGTCCTAATGAAACTCTAATGCTGAGTTGTTTTAGTGTTTCATGTGGTCACGACACCGAGAAAACCGACTGTAGAGGTGCGTGAGGCGCGAGGGAACTCTGACCGGGTCTGGTTGACTGAACGGCGTGGTTAAACGAGATGGGGTTAGGGTTTTGGAAACCCTAACCTGCTACGTGTGGGCTAGTTATTGTTGGGCCTGCACAAAAAATGTAAAATAAATTACACATAATATATGCCTATATATATATTAATATTATAAATGTAACACGTATACTATTGGATGAAATGAGGTGTCTACAGCTCCTATAGTTGATCATCTAATTGTTGTATCTTAAAAAAATTGTGTAGTGACATGCCTCAAATGTTTCCGATCGATTGATCTATCAGGTAGAGTATATCTTTCTATACATTTTTTTTATTATTTTAAAGATTTTTAACTTTTATTTTTTTATTATCTCAGGTTTGATTACGACCTCATATTGTTAAACTTTTAAAAATTCTAAGACAAAGTTCGTTCTTTATCTCTAAATTATATAATGATATTATATATTATTATCATGATATTTTTTTTAGTTTGGATTGAATTTTTTTTAATAATCTTAGGCTGTGTTTGGTTCACAGAATGTAAGATCACCAGTGAGAATGTAAGATCATCGGGGAATAGGATTACTGAGAATGTTGTATTTTGTGTTTGGTTGTTTTAGCATGAATGTAAGATTACCAGGGAATAAGATTACTGAAATGTCAGATTACCAGGGAATATGATTACTGAGAATGTTGTATTTTATGTTTGGTTGGTTTAGCAGGAATGTAAGATTACCAGTGGAAATGTAAGATTACCAGGGAATAGGATTACTGGGAATGTTGTATTTTGTGTTTGGTTGGTTTAGCAGGAATATAATATTACTGTGTTTGGTTAAAAGAATAAAAGATTATTGTAATGTATATTTGACCAAATTGTCCTTATTATATATTTGTTTTTTTAACAAATTGGAAAATATTTATATATTTTCTTTAA